CAAGCCTGCTCCAAACAGACGCCCCCCCCCCATCTGACCAAAAGTCTCAAAGGCTTGTTTCTTTTTTCCCCAAAAGTCTTAAGTTTCTCCTGCTAATTATCTCTGCAATTAATCAAAGTGAATTCTAATTCTGGTTTCATCAAGAATCAATGTGTTTTCCTGTGAATCTACTCTATCTCTGTTACCACCTTTTCAAATCCTCAACTGATATGGGAACAGAGTGCTGCAATCCAAGGGCTTTTTCTAATGTACAGGTAGTCCTTGACTTACAACAGTTCGTTTCGTGACCGTTCAAAGTTACAACGGCACTGAAAAAAGTGACTTATGACTGTTTTTCACACTTTAATGACCATTGCAGCATCCCCATGGTCATGCGATCAACATTCGGATGTTTGGCGACTGGCATGGGTTTATGACAATTGCAATGTCCCATTGCAAACTTCTGACAATCAAAGTCAATGGGGAAGCCAGATTCACTTAACAACCGTGTTACTATGTTAACAACTGCAGTGATTCACTTAACCACTGTGGCAAGAAAGGTCGTAAAATGGGACAAAACTTACTTAACAACTGTCTCTCTTAGCAACAGAAATGTGGAGCTCAACTGTGGTCATAAATTAAGGATTATCTTGTACTTGTAGATTCTGATGAATGATATGAAAAAAATATGTGTGTGTATAAACTTGAAAAGATATCTGGTCTTTACAACTGACATCTCCCTCTCCTAGCATTGTTGGCTATCTGGAAGTTTCTTCCTGGAAATGCACCTTTCTTTATTTCTCACACCCTTCTTCATTCTCTTTTCCTTCTCTTTCTTCTCTCTCTCCCCTCTTTCCCATCTTCATGTTCTTTTCTATCACTGGATTCCTGGGCAGAATTCTGCTATTTTCAGATTCTATTCAAAAGTTGGACCAAAACACGCATCCATTTCCTGCTTCCTTTATTGCTATTTCCTATCCCTCATTAAAGTCAGCAGAAATAACAATGACCCCAAACTAGTAACAACCAGAAACTCTTCCTGAATTTGTTTTCCAGAGAACTTCTGAGAACATGTTTTTAATCATCTTTTCCCCTTTTGGATTTTCTTGGGGAATTCTTCAAAGCATGTCTCATCTCTTGTCAATCAATTGTTCCCAGACTTCCTCTTCTTCTAAGGATTCCCCAGTAAAAGAAATTTACGATGGACTGTTCCCATTCAGGAACAATCTTTTAACACGTCTGTGATACTGGGAGTTATTTGCCCTTCTATCTACCGAGGACTTTTGAGTTTTAGGGTGAGAGGTTACACCTTCTCAGAGCTTCAGATACAGTACTGGTTTGTATTGTGTCTGTATACACTAAATGTCCAAATTGTGAAGTCAGCAGTGAAGTAAGAGTTCTCCAGAGCAGGGATATTTTCTTAAGAAGGCACGGTCTGACCTCTTCACTGCACAGTTCAAAGCAGTTTCATTTTTCATCATCTGGAAATATTCTTTGCTGACTCATGAAATATGATTAAATGCCATTAACCTTTCACAATGAAATATATAGGATTGCCGTAAAAAATCAGGGAAAATAACCTAATCTCCCACACATTCAGATGCAAAAAATATCCTTGTCTCTTTGGGTAACGTTAAAATACTCTCATTCACAGCATCAAGGGAATCTAATGGTTTGAGTAATTCTTGAAATCTAGAAAGGTCACCATTAATTCAGACCCAGGAGAAAACCCATCCAGAGTGAGAGCCAGTGCACAAATTAAAAGCTTGCCTCAGATTTGTGATATCTGAGCATGTGGCCAGGTGGGTGGCATGAATAGCAGTGGCAATAGGCACCATGGAAGATTTGGGGATCAATCAATCAGAATAGAGCTGGAAGGGACCTTGGAGGTCTTCTAGTCCAACCTCAAGCAAGAGATCCTATAACATGAATGCTTGACTGAAACTCCCTTGGGGAGGTAAGTATGCTATAATGGTTTCATGAATCGTAATCAGATTAACCCAGGGCAGGGTGGCTTAGACATTATCACTCAGGCTGGATTATCACTCATGAATCGGATCAGAATAAAGCTGGAAGGGACCTTGGGGGTCTTCTAGTCCAACCTCTGCTCAAGCAAGAGACCCTATACAATTTGAGACAAGTGGCTGTTCATTCTCTTCTTAAAAGCCTCCAGTGATGAAGCAACCACAATTTCTGAAGGCAAAGCTGTTCCATTGGTTAATTGTTCTCATTGTTAGGAAGTTTCTCCTTAATTCCAAGTTGCTTCTCTCCTTGATTAGTTTCCATCCATTGTTTCTTACCTTGCTTTCTGATGCTTTGGAAAATAAGCTGACCCCACCCCCCCTTTTGTGGCAGCCCTTCAAATCTCTCCTACTTTTAATTAAACTAGAGATACCTAGTTCCTGCAACAGTTTTAGTCTCCAGGCCCTTAATCATCTTCCTTGCCCATTTTCCAAAATCTCAACATCTTTTTTGTAACGTGGTGACCAAAACTAGATGCAATATTCCAGGTGTGGTCTTACTAAGGTTTCATAAAGCAGCACTAATAGTTCATGTGATTTTGATTCTATGCCTGTTTATATAAACAAGGATTGTATTAGCTTTTTTGGCTGCTGCCACACACTACTGGCTTGTATTTAAGTGATCGTACACCAGGACTCCATGGTCCCTTTCAAAAACAAGGCTGTACTCTTATCCTGAAGATGTGAGAGAAGCTCCACTGGTGGTAGGCATATCCTGGATATCTCCATCAATGTCATCTTTAATACAATCCATATCCTATCTCAAAGGTGCTTTTTCAAAAGGCAATTGGACTTTGTTTTTCCTTGAAGACGTTTCACTTTTCATCCAAGCTTCTTCATTTCAGAACTCACCAGAACTGAAGAAGCTTCTTGGATGAGAAGCGAAACATCTTCAAGGAAAAACAAAGTCCAGTTGCCTTTTTGAAAAACACCTTTGGGACAACCATGATCAGGATAACTGAGAATCTGCACAGACAGTCCCTACCCTATTAATTCTAATGAAGATGCAGAGTCTGAAGATTTTTTTTAAAGTCCAGACTGTTCAGATAATGTGGTTAAGACACCTTCTTAATTCGCTGAATTTTAAGGATGAGGCACACATCAATCAGTCTTATAAGATTCTGTTACTACAGGTAGTCCTCAACTTACGATGGGTCACTTAGCAACCCGCTTGACCCACCTGGGGGGCACTTATGATCTGGATTCAAAGTTCTGATAGTCAAGCGCCCACTCCATGCCTTGTGGTCACTTGAGCACTTGGCAACCGAGCTGTGTTTATGACCGTTTGCGGTGTCCCATTATCACACCTTTGTGTTCTACGATGGTTTTGTTGAAAGTGGCATTTTACTTCTGGTTTATTCTGCAAAATCGAGTCCATAGCCAACCACTGGTTTAATTAACAACTGCAGATTCATTTAAAAATCGTACTGATTTGCTTAACCACTGACACAAAAAGGTCATAAAATTGGTCACCGACCAATTTTACAACCATTGTGAGTTACAACTGTGATAGGCAGGCTCCATTACGGTCATAACTTGAGCACCACCTCTATAGCCAATCAGAATAAATGAAGTTTTAGCCTTTTTGTGGTGCTGATTTCCTGGTCTGGACTATCTATTGGGGCTCTCATAGGGTGAGGAGGCTAACTATTGGGCTTCAAATGCTGATCTCCAACTCAGATCCCTCCTGGAAAATAAGCAACTTGGTAAAGTAAATGTGGTTGGCAAGATCAAATGCCAACACAGCTAGTGGGTATCACATTTTCAGTGGTTGAGGTTCAAACCAAGCTATCCTAGAACTAAGGAGAAACTTCCTG